TCCGATACCAAACTGTTGCATACTGTAACGTGCAGACCAGAACAAGAACCGACCTCTCAATACAAAGTACAAGATAACACAGCGGAAGACTTAGATACGAATGATCCGAACAATCAATATTGCAATGCAGCCCTGAACACACATCATCATCATCGTTATCTGGTGTGAAGGGGGTCTGGCGCTTCACACAAGAAGACTGCGCCAGCCCCAACCATACACARACGAAGAAGGAGGGGTTAGACGACAGAGGAGGGGAAGATGGGAATGTCGTCAACACCAAGTCTCGGTACAGGCCCAAATTGTCCCTCTTCGAAATGTCTGAATCCCAATGTCCAGTCTGGATCCAATGTCGTCAAGTCTCAAGTCRCAACTCTTTCTCTCTCTACCGTAGTCTGAGAAGTCAGGTGGCGAGAGGGTGAGAAGAGATGATGGACTTAGAAGAGGAAGAAGAAGAACTCTCTCTCTCTGTGTGTCCAGTACTAACCTGTGAAGTTGGCGCCTTGATGCAGGTACCACGAAGATGGAGCTGGAGCGATGGCGCCACAGGTAAGTACCACTGGCCTCCGCCAGTATCTCTCCCAACTCTACGATCTACCACCTACCAGCGCCCAGCGCTGAAGACTACTCTATGGCTATGGGCGCCCAGCGCCGAAGACTACAGCTAGCGCTAATACTACTGCCTAGCGCTGAAGACTACTGCAGCGCTCCTCCTGAGTACTGCGGCCGAATCCTGAAGACTACTCGTGCCTACTGACAACTACCTACCCATGAAGTGCATGGGAACTCCTATGTACTACCGGGTGTGCCTCCTGACTCGTGCGAGCAGTCCAGGACGCTGCTCTTGCCAATGCCGAAGGGAGGCAGGGGCTGCAGCTGCAGCTCCTGCTCAAGCTCGTGAGGAACAGACTATTTCTGGCCTGTTCCGAAACCMTGTATTCRTGCCTGAGTCTTAGGGGTGGTCGAAACAATGAGGGCCTGAAAAAGGCCCTCCGTTTCAGGCTGGARAAACKCTGGGCCTGAAAGGCCCAGAAATAGGCTGAAACGGAGTAGGGCCTGCAGACCCTCGTATTTCAGCTTTCAGGCTGAACGACGGGGGCCTGTAAGCCCTAAGTTTTAGGCTTTTAGGCTGAAAGTGCGGGACGGGTCCTGCAGGGCCCGTGTGGCTACGCAGTATACCACAATCCCCCCTCCTTGAAGAACCGAGCTTACCTGTGAGGGAGAAGCTGTTTGTCTGAGGGAGGGACCACAGTCCGGGTGGGAGGGGCTGGTCGTGAAGCTTCCTGAGCTAACCTCCGTTTTTCATAATGCGCGTAGATCAGCGGTGCGGATGCTTTCAAATTTGCGCCTCGAATCCACCGAGTGTCGTCGCGATCGCATACTTTGAATGTGACTTTGTACTGCCGCGGCTTGCTGCCGTACTTGCGATCGGTGATGACGCAGTCAACTTCCTGAT